GTCCCCCCTCAAGACAAAAATCGCCCACCATCCGTCACATTTCTCCATTGAGGTTATCGCAACGATGCCGGTGGACCGCATGGAGAAGCACTTCTTGCTCACACGGTGGCTGACGTCACGCGCGGGACACAAGGCCAAGGCTGACGCCAACATCTTCCGATATCGTCTTGTGGGGCTCGCAAAGGTGCAGATATCGATTGGGCAGTTACGTATCAATACTGATAAATAATCAATATTGATAAAATGAGTTTTGCATCAGCTGCTCCAAGTATCGCTTCCTCTGCGAGACTTGAAATGTGAGGCCGGCCACCGGACTGCAGAAGCTGCTTTGCGCAGTTGGAGAATCATACAAATCTGTGGCTTTCCCTGGACGGAAACAGCAAGATAGTAGACTTGTTTCGTAAGCACAACGATTGCACGGATTTGCTGCGGCGCGGATACTCCCCGAGCGGTTGCGGGGAGTGATCATACTTGATGTCCTATAATTACGGCTACAGACTGTGCAGTTATAACTTTACGGTCCGCAGCCGTAATTACAGGACAGGGAAATAAACTATAAATGCAAAATTTTAACTCCACGATCCGCGACCATCCTAGATACTCAGTCTTTCCGAACGAAAGGACACGGTGACAGCGCAAATTATTTCAGTTGAATATCAACCACCACTGCCTTGCAGGCGACTTTATTATTCTGATAAAGACAGGCGGCACATTGAGAGGTATCATGATCAACAGCAACAAACAACGTGCAGCTCCATTGTTCGGCTTTGGTGTGCTGATAGGAGTATTTGATTTCTTGTCCGGATGCACATTTTCGCCTTGCGAAGCGCATTTGTCTTACTGCGTCGTGAGTTGGTGTGCCTTCTCTTCCAAAATGCAATCCAACTGGCCCTACGGCGGGCATTGAGCCGAATTTCGTTATGTACAGTAGCCATAACCGAAAACCAATAACTCCTGGATTGTCGATCATTCACTTCAGAAGTGCATATCTGAAGCGAGCAGCTTTAGGTATATGTTAAAGCCGAATAATCTCAAGTGACTCAATCTGAATTGTCCTTTGAACCCTCCTGCAAAGGTGTTATGTGGCGTGCTGGTCCCAGTGTGCATCAGCTCACTGAGCGAAGTCAAAGGGAACGCCCACGATCTGATACAGAAAGCAGCCATAGTGCTGAGCATTATCGGCACCCTGGCCATCGCGCTGGAAGATTTTTTCCAGTTCGGCATCAGGGCGAAGAGCCGGAAGCTATGCCAAAATCTGATGGAGAGGAGCTTTTGGGAGCTTCACTCCATGTCCGGTGAGACAGCTCGCAACAGACGAATTGTTTTCGTTGTCTTGATTCCAAAGTCTTCGCATTTCAGCCTCTTCGATGGTCGCGAGGGCAGTTGTGTGCCTTGGCAACCAACGCACAACTCTCATCACTGCAATTTGCTGTTGTTATCTCAGACACCTTCATTGCCAAAACGTTTCACCATCGCACAGAACTTCTTAACGTGTTCAATATGTACTAGAATGGTGCCAGGTCGTGCATCCGATGCTCGAACCGTGTTACAATGAGACCAAATTGAGTCGCCTGAGCCTATAATTGACATTGAATCTGAAAGTGCTTCCGATACATGCACAAATTGAAGCATCAGCTCTGTATTGCAGTCATCTTGACACAATGTCATTTAAGTATGTCCCATTAGAGGGATACACAAACTGCCTGCATTTGGTGAAATTTGGTACCCAAAGCGTGTTGTCAAGTACTGAGTCTCGCAGCGAGTTACGGATTCCATTTTTTTAGGAATCTCCTCGAGAGTTTCTGTGGATATTGGCAAATAGGCATATCCGTTTTAAGCCCATAATCATCTTCGAGATTTTGCACGTTCGCAACAGATTAACATACCGGCTTGAATGAGCACAGGATGATTTGCGTGCGCAAAAAACGATTCCTGCCCCCAGGCATCCTCAACATATCGTCAAGTCAGGTGCCCAAATGTAAATGCTCTGTGGCAATAGGAAGTTTCCTGCTGCGTGTTATCAAAGAATTTGGACTGAATTCAAAATTGCAAAGTTCACGATTAGTGTATTTAAATGACAGCAAAATAGAGTTTAGCAGGTGGCGATAATCTATAATACTTGTTGTATGTACAATACAAGTTTTATTAATGCCTGGAAGTATCAAGAACTAGCCTGAAATTTGTAATGCTGAATGCCACGTACGGAAATATTTACATTATATTTGATGAGTTCATCAGTAGATGAATGCACAGAAAGTCTCTCTTACTGTTATGCACGCGCCAAAATCACTTGGATATGTCTAGCCACTTCACAATCGTTTCCGTCCGCAACGTCTCCCTGACGATAGCGAGAAAAACCTAATCTATTGGGCCCTTTCTCCAGGCCCACCGTAAATGCCTCCAATGCGTATTCGAAAGAGGATCTGAAAAAGAACTCTTTTGGCGTTCATAATTAGGTAATTATACAAAGCACCGAAAATGGACAGGGCCCGCGTTTCGGGATTTCGTTAGGGATTCAGAGAGATACATGTTCGAAGCGGAAGAGACGTACGCTCAAGCTCTTCAGCAGCACGAAGACAGGCGTGAGGGTCCGTCTCCAAGCGCGGAAGGCTTCGAGGGCAGTGTTCGTCGCACAAGCTCCACCATAGGTGGAATGCGCGTCTCCACTTTCAGAATTTAGATTTCCTCGCTCTGCTAGCAAGACGGCCTACGGTGCAATGTGGTGGCAATGGGCGATCTCCACACAATTCGAGTTTCATTGATTTTTGAAATTCATGGCGAAAGACTGGTGGCTGTAATGTCCATACATGGAAGGGAGTATACTATCAGCTGCCGAGTCCGGTGTCATGGCTGTGAAAAATTCCAATGCGAAATTCCCAGTTTGATCCTCGTGGTTGTTAAATATTGGAGAAGGGGTGTGAGAACCATTGTCAATGGGTTGAATTGTTGCGATGATGGAGAATTTCGAAGATGTAATTGGTAGCAAGCAGTCCCGGACAGCTGTAGGTTGGCGGCATTGTGAATTGAGAAGTTAGGATCTGATAGAGTTTGCTACTGGGGAAATGGTGATTGAACTTATCATATATCGTGGAACTCTAGAGCAAAAATATCTCGTCTGTCGATTGGCACGGCGGAATAACGTTGGGTGGTTTGGATCGCTTGATATTATGGCGTTGTTTCAACTGATAAGTTTTTGGATATGTACTTGCAGGAGGAATGCAGAGATTGTAATTTTCATGCCATTTTGGATCCCGCAAGTCATTTTCACAATCGCCAGTGACGCGATCATGTTAATGCTGTCGGCTGGCTTGGGTTCCCGGCTATCTGGCCGGGGCAGTGGAGCTACAGGTCAGGCTTCCAATTGGCTTATAGAATCGCGGGATGGCCCACATGGGCCCACGTGGGTATCCGTGGGAGGGCCGCTGAAATGCTCGAACGTGGGGCATGCCACACGTTCCCAAATTTCCAACGGCTCTCCCATGGATGCTCACACAGGCCGCCCCATGTAGGACAGTGTGGGGCCTCCATGGGACGACCTGCATGGGCCCCATGCCATCCCACAAGGGATGCCCAACATGCATTTTGGGCACTCATGGGAGGGCCATTTGGAATGCGGGCACATGTGGCATTCCCCACGTTAATGCATTTCCTCGACCCTCCTACAGGTGACCATGTGGGCCATCCAGCGATTCTGTAACCTTAGATTGCAATCGATCCCAACCCAAACGTCTAGGTAGGGATCGTTGGGAGCCATGCTGACATGGGGTGATGTGGAATATTCCACATCACTGGATGTCTGTTGATAGACATCCAAAGAAGAGAAATTCCAAAACAGAATCAAGGAGACGAAATGAGATGTGGAATTTCATAACCTTGCTTCAGTTTGAGTATTGCTGCTCTTTGTGGATGGATAGATGACGCTTATGACAGCCACATGAGGAACGCTACATGAGGTTTTGCAGAATGCGCCAGAAGCCATGACTAATCATCAGCAGTACTGCTTAAGCAATATCAACGAAGCCACGTTTGTTCACCCGCCTTCAGGCTGCTGATCTTCTAATGCACCTGCTGGTGAGTTTTATGAGCACCGCTTTAACATGACAATGATTTTGGAGATCTCAGGGGCATGAGCGAGACATCCAATAACTTCACCGTCCAAAACACAAAATAGGGCAGCACCCCGTATATGTGGCCATGCTAAAAATATACAGCTCCCCGCAATCTATCCCAGGGAATGTGCACCCGGATTCTCCCCAACATGCACCCTCATGCACAGGGCCAACCTGCCCGGAAAACTCTGTCGTTTTGCAAGTTCAATAGACTGCATTGAGCTGCTAGTCTTCCGCACAGCCCGTGTGGCCATGCAAAAAATATACAACTCCCCGCAATCTATCCCAGGGAATGTGCACCCGGATTCTCCCCAACATGCACCCTCATGCACAGGGCCAACCTGCCCGAAAAACTCTGTTGTTTTTCAAGTTCAATAGACTACATTGAGCTGCCAGTCTTCCGCACAGCCCGTGTGGCCATGCAAAAAATATACAGCTCCCCGCAATCTATCCCAGAGAATGTGCACCCGGATGCTCCCCAACATGCATCCTCATGCACAGGGTCAACCTGCCCGAATAAGTCTGTCGTTTTGCAAGTTCAATAGACTGCATTGAGCTGCCCGGCTTCCGCACAGCCCGCGCGGCCGCACAGTTCTGTGCGGCCGTGCGGTCGTGTCCTCTGTCCAGCGCATCCATGCCGATCCAGCCATCGCCGCACAGCCCCCCACGGTGAGGCCTTTAAGCCTCAGCGAGGCTCAGCCTCACAGCCTTTAGGGAAAATGTGCTCCAAAAGCGAACTACGACGTACTAATCTATGTACCAAGCATCCCAACATACCTCTTTGTTCTCCACCACAGCCCCTGCCGTTCTTCGTAGTAGGCTTGGTGTGTGTTCCACCCAATAATTTTCATCATCAATCTTGATGATGACGGTGCCGTCACCAATTGTGACTCACACCGCCTCCGAATGGCAATTGGCTGCCCGAGACTCTCCTGCACACATCCCAAAACAAGAGAAAAACCCCCTCTTCACCTCCAGAACCCCCGACGCCCTGATGCCCTTCAGTTCCTGGACGACCTCCCTCATTCGCGGTCTCAGAAGTGGGTCCGCCTTCCAGCACTTCCTGATGACCGCGGCGATTTGCGGACACACGGATTTGGACATGGATGGACGGTACCCCTTGGACATCCGGTAGGCGAACTCCTTGGGGGCGTAAGGGGACTCGGGGTTCATCTCGGACAGGAACACCAGGTCCTTGCAGAACAGCTCGTAGAGGACCATGCCCAGGCTGAAGGTTTCGGCCGTCTCGCCGTACGGCTCGCTCCGGAAGTTCTCCGGCGCCATGTGGCAGTACGTGCCCGTCTCGCCTGTGGGCCACAACGCAGTTTGAATCAACCCATGAAATGTTGTGGAGAACATGAGGTTTGCTACTCGCGGCGTCAGGACAGCCTGCATTTGCGTACTTTACCACGTCTTTTTGCAAAAGTGCGCAGATTCGCGCTGTGTTTGCGCAGTAAATGACAAGCCTGGAGAGCGCCCAGTTTAAAGACGAGAATATCAGATCTAGCGCTGCCGAAATTCTACTACATCGACTGGGTTTTCATTTTTTGTAGAATTGAGGAGTCCCGGGCAGCCACTGCAGCTGCGCGGTATGGCTAACCGTTGCCTGACTCTGGGGCGCATGTGAAACTGATGAATTGCACACCGTTTGCTGGGACATTCTGGAAAAGAAGGCATAATTTTTGGTTGAGTTGAGAATGTAAGTAAAAAATTTCCGATGGAATCTGTCAGTGAAATTCCGAGTACAGAAAGCTAGCGACTCCAGACACGCATGGATTTCACTGAAAAGAATGATATTCTTAATTTTCAATCATTGTATTTTCATATGTTGACAATTTAGATGCACATATCACGAAAATAGTCAAAATCGCATTTCGCATGTACATGCGTAGAAATTTCTCAAGCTCTGGGATGTTTGTTCCGCGATAGGTTAAGCAACATAAATAAAACCAGGTCGGCAAAGTTCTTACCTGTCAAGTCGGACATTAAAGGGGGGAATTCCTTATGCCCCTTTGACAAATCTTGAGCGTTGTTCAGGGTCTCGTCAACATCGCCCGTAGAGAAGATATCGGGGTAGCTGCTGAGTAGACGGGAGGATGGTATTTTGGGCAACTGGTCACTTAGAGTCCCGCCCAAGCTCAGATGTTCTGAATTCAGCCGTTCAATGCTCTCACCATGCTCCCCAACAAGCTGTACAAGTACAAAAAGATTCCGTGATGCGCACTCATTAGCCACTCTCTACACTTCCTTTCTGGAACCATGGTGTCTATAGACAGGTCGTTCTGATTCTGGGTGCCCGTTGCGTCTTTTAGCGTATGCTTGTTGCAAAAAAATCTAAATTGTCTATATGTAATAGAAAGCTGTTTAAAATGAAGCCTGCGGAAGTGAAAATCTAGATTCTTTCCAGACGGGTCACTGGCGTCATTCGCTCGTCGAATGCACTGGCAAAGTACACCATTTGGCGATGCCGCTCTGACATAAGTGGCTTTGTCACGGTGATTGCGACGGTGTCAAATATGCTGTGATGGCACCAATTAGCGTCAAATGGAATTGCACTTGACATCCCCCAAATGGTGTTTTCTGCTCGAGATACGCATCTCTGCGCTCCCACGGCAATGCGATATATCGTATATGCCTTTGCGCTTTCTACAAAAATGTATTTTGCTTCGAAATTTAATGGAAATGTAGCAAGGCTTAACGCAATGCAATTCAAACCTTGCCATCTGCGCTCACCGCAACGAGCCCAAAATCGCAGAGCTTGGCGCGCAACCTTTTGCTCTCCTTGGTCAGCAAAATGTTGTCTGGCGTGATGTCGCGGTGCAGGACCATTGGGTTCAGTCCGTGCAGGTATTCCAGCGCCTCGGCGATGTCGATGGCTATGTTGAGCGCGGTGAGCATGGAGTACAGCGAGAACGACGACACCATCTGCCTGAGGATTAGCGACTGCAGTGTTCCACACTGATAGTCGCACATGATCACAAAAGTCAGCAGGGTACAGAAGGGACCAGTTGCATCTGAAAAATGAACCACATCCTCTATCTCACCATATCAAGAGCATGGCACCCTGTGTCCACATATGCAGCGAACATATCCAGGCCATGGCGCCCATATCCTATTCGATATGCAGGATGTGGCGCTTTTGACGACGTTACGTTTGAGGATTTGGCTAGAAAATAGGGCTCGCATTACGAATACAAATCATGTCCACAGCGTTCACCATGAACTTTCTGTGGCCATGGGCGCATAGCCAGATCAGGCAGCACGTAGCTTGAAGGCAAAATTCACGAGTATTCACCAAGCCACATACAAGCAAATGAACAAAGTGCCTGAAGGTGTGCGAAGTATTACAAAGGACTACCACTTCACAGACTTAGCAAAATGATTTTTTGTGTCAGTGGTGGTGGCACAGTTCTTCAGTGCTACTGAAGAAACGAAATATCATTCCTCGGATCCTTTGATTGCATTTGTCACACAAACATGAAAAAACACTGCCCTTGCACATTGGAGGCGATGTCGGGCACAATACAATAATCCATGGGGCGTGGCTGTCCAGGCACTGGTATACAGGTATGTAGGTTCAAGTCTGAAACAATCAATACAATCGTTACCTCGAAAAATTCTTCAATGATGGCTAGCCTTGGAGAAGAACTAGCTTCTGCTATTCCTCGAGTTCCAGCCGGAACGGTGGTCAAGCCAAGCAGTTTCACTATCGACCTACAGAGGGTGTCGAGGGTTTTCACGTCAAAATCGGGATGGAACCGTCCAAGCTTAAATTATGCAACACAACATAATTAATGCCTACTTGCGTCCGCTGCATCTTTCTTGAGCTTTGGATGCGCATATAAAATATTGGACAGACGCAGCAGGTATCAACAGTTTCCTGAGCTTCGAAGCGAGGAACTCACCTCTGGCATGGATCATTATCCATGCAGTAGTTGCGTTCTCCAAAAGTGTCCTAGTTGCAGTGGACACCAGTACTAATAGTTCTGGTGCCTCTGGCTTTCAGGTTGCCGAAATTGGCAGCACATCTCTCAAAAGGAGCTGACGAATTGCGCAGAACGCTGCTGTTTTATTCGAAAGTAAGTCAACCTCTTGTGCTTTCGGACGACACGCCGCAGATTCGACCCCCATCTGACACCACCCACACCAGGCACCGGATGCTTCGCGCGGTGCCCCGGGAGTGTGGGACGAGTCAACCGCTCCCCGCGGCCGCGCTGGCGTGGCGGATTACGTGTCGAAGAGAGTACACTAGTCCGTTGCTCGTCGGGCCGCGTTGAGGGTGGCCGCGGGCGTGTGCTGCTGTGGGGCGGGCACACCGGATGGACTCGCGGCAGTCCGACAGCAGAAAGCTGCCGCTCAACTGCACTTGCGGAACCTCGCATGTTTTTGGACCCCCGGTGTGCGAGGCCGCGCGTGGCGTGGTGCGTCGGATCGCGGTGCGAGGGAAGCGGGGGAAGCGGAAATCGAGGGGCGGGTGGGGGGGATGGTGACGGACAAAGGGCAAACAGGGGATGCGATCAGCGCATCGGGCTCCACACCGGTCGCGGGCCCGTTGATCCGCTGGGCCTGGCGCTGGAGCGCGTCCTGCAGGCCTGCGTGCCAGCGTGCTGGATGGGATCTGCATTTGCGAGCCGGAACTGTGCTCGACCGCGAGGTCGTCTGAAAGACGGGAGCAAGCCAGCAGCACAACCGCGGTTTCACCGCTGGATATCGACGTCCCTCGACGCGCTCGCGAGCCACGACGGGGACAGCGATCTCTCCTTGCGTGAGTTCTCGCGCTGATCGGTTCACTCATTCAAGTTTGACCCTCCAAAGTGGCGGCTGCTGTGCCACGCCTGCAAACCAGAAAAACCCCACCGGAATCGCCGCTTCGCCCAAGCCCCGGTCCCCGCCGAGGAGCGGTGAGCCATCGTGGAACAAGCAAATCGGTGGGCTCAAATTCACGGAGGCAGAACAAACTTGCGCCAACCTGCAGTTGCACGAGCGCCTAACAAGTTCCCGACAGGCATTGCGAAAGCGGTGCGAGCGCACGCACCGGTGCTCTATCGTCTTGAGGATCGACGCCTCCTGCACGAACAGCTCCAGGGGCACCTGCCCCTCCGCGAGCAGCACCTTGAGCACGACGGCCCTGCCGTCCAGTCGGGCGCGGTACACGACGCCGAAGGAGCCGCGGCGCAAACGCCGCTGGACCTTCAGCTCGCCGAAGGGCACCTGGGGGCCCAGGATCGCGGGCCAGGCGTCGCGGTCGCCCAAGGCAGATGCCGACCCCTCTTGCGCCATTCCCAAACGCTGGAGCGCGGATTCGATCCCAGCAATTGTCTCAGTCTGCAGGTAACGGTGCGCGGCCCCCCACATGGTGCCTATCAAGGCTGAACTGCGAAGTGTGACTTGATGGGGTGACCTGGCGCGAGGGCATGTGCCGAGTTCATGTTGGGAACGCACGCATGGCACTCGCTGGGCAGCTGGATGGTCCTGGATGTTATGGCCGTGTGTGGGGATTGGCCGATGTGGGCTTGATATCAGGCCGGTTGGGCGATGGAAATCGCCCATCGATGTACACGGCCGTCAGGGTTGCCACGGTGACCTGTTGCGCCAACTAACTGGGATGGCACACCGGCCGGTCACGAGCACGTTCCATTCGTGCACATGGAACTTCGGAGTGAGCAATCCAACGCCAGAGTGCGGATTGGATCCCCTCCGACCACAGCCTCGCAGTCTCAGTGTGCAACTAAACGTGTACTGCCACCTCCGCGGCCTACTAAGGCTGCACAGGCAGTATGTGACGTTAAGTTAAGGGGGTACACTGGTAGAACGGGGGCCGCAAGGACTGGTGTGATGATTGTGGTGTCTTGTGGTTGTCATGGGATGACCGTTGGGCGTGTGGTGGTGGCAGAGTATGGGCACCTATCGCCATGATTGTAACCGAGCGTGTTGTTCCCCAGAACCGCCCGCCTGCTGTTGTTGCGGGTACTTACTTGTGGGTGTTACAATATGACTTTCCCGCCCACAATCACACGTGGTATCATTGCTTTGGCGCTAAACCGGTCCTGGCACCTGGGATAGCGTCCGGGGCATCGCCTTGATGTTATCTTGCCATTTGGTCCTGAGCAAGGACTACGTTGCCAATTGTGCAGTTGGACTCTGAGTCCAACTGCACAATTGGCAGCGTGGTCCTTGCTCAGGACATAGAGTCCAGGACTCCACACCAAGGTGCGCCAGGACAGCAGTCCCTATGTTGGCTGACGAGGATGCCATCCTAAGTGATGCTGACGAGGGCAAGCAACTTAGAGGGGTGGTGATACCTGACTGGGGACAATAGGCTCGAGTACATGGCAACGGTTTATAGTGGAGCAAGGGGACAAAACGAATTCTGTCCCTCATGTCCGGTCCATTCACCAGTGTCCTTAATACAATTCCTATTGTCTCATCACATCCGCATGTCCAACTATTAGTGATACTTGATTATGTGAAAGAGGCGGGTGTTGGGGACTTACTCACAGCCACACTGTGACTTGAGTGCAAAGACAATCAGAGCTAGGAGACTTTGTTCTAGCAAGTCCGGTGCCAACAGAGTTACAAACAACCACACGTCCATTGTCACCGCAGGTGCCCATTCGATTGGCCCCCACGGCATCCACACCGGCGCCCCACCCGGCCCCCTCCCCCGGACCCCACCCCCCATGTGGCATGTGCGCATTGCATTTTTATGTCCACAACAACACTTACCTCTCCCTGCTTTCCCCTCCCCTGCACCGATGGAGACGGTGCTGGCAGCCATCGATTACGCGATGGTTGTTTTGCTTATGGTGGTGTAGAGGGCGGCCCCTACACAAAGCTACTCTGCGTCTGTGCCGATCACCTTGTCTGCCTAGCGCAATGCACTACACCGGCACTACCACGGTTGCGCGTGGCACACCTGCAGATGCCGCACTTATGTCCAATGCAATTCGCCACTTGCCCTTGCCTCCGTGCTAAATGCACTGCCACCCAGCGGCCACCGGTTGGACCTGCTTGGAACTCCCCCTTGCCCCCTCCCTCCTCATCCACTACCTCTGGTACTAACTCCAAATGGCCCCCACCTACGACGCCCTCCAATGCACAGGCACCCCCTCAAGCACCACTGGCACCGGTAGGGACTGCTCTCGCTGACTCAGCACTGCTTACATACGCCGTACCATCACCCATCCGACCTAGTGCGCACCACTCCATCAACGCCACTTCCCATACTAACTACTCTCACTGTGGTAATGTTGTATAAACTGTTAGGCAAACTGCTTGTGGGACCATGTCTTGTGAGGTCCCGTAGGGGGCCGAGCTCAGCCGAGCAGAGCGAGGCCATGGGATGTCCCGAGTTAATGACTTAATGGACTATAATAGAATTGTGTATTGTGGGATGTAAAAGCATGTGGCCACACACCATGTTGTAGCGATCAATTGTTTTGTAGCCTCCCTGCCTCCTCGAGTGTAGTAGCCATGCACCTCGGATAGGATTGCGCAGAGTGGCAGTCACCCAAGGGCTAGAGAAACCATGGGACATGCCATCTAGCTAAGGATGACCACGCTTCCACTGAAGATGCCCTAGCATGTGGGCCAGGTGTAAGGGGCGGAATCCCTTTTTGGCCAGACTAAAAATGGCCCGTTCTCTCCATTCGAGTCGGGGGCCAGTCGAGTCAAAACTAGGCAACAACTTTGATTACAAACTGGTTTGGTGTGTCTATATGTATACCCTCTCTTAAGGGATCCCAAGAGTCAAGCCAAAAATAGGGTGAGTCACACTAATTTTGGTATACCCACCAAGTTTCAATTTGAATTCGCCCGCCTCTTGTTCTTCCGTTCCACCGACCCGTTGGTCCCGAGACCCGTCCCTACCATACTGTAGAGGTGGCCACCCGGATCCGTTAATAGCGGACAGAGTTTAATTTCCGTTAATTTTCCGTTAATTAATGGAAAATAACGAAAAAAGACAAAAATTAACCAAAAATTAGCGGATTTTTGGATTTTTTGGGGATTTTTGGGTTTTAGTCATACTTATATTTTATGGATTTCGCTATTAGAAAGTATGTCTGTATTTTATTTCAACCTATGCATACTAGATTTTCAACTAGCCGCAATTGTTGTGATTTTTTGGGTTTTTTTTCGATTTTTTTGGATTTTTTTCGTTTTTTCTGAGTTTTTCTCCCTTTTTCTTTAACGAAATTTAACGGACAGCTGATAAAAATTAACGAACCGGACTTAACGGACCGGATGGCACCTTTGAGTGGCCACCTCTACCATACTGACCAACACGGTGTTTTCTCTCCGGTATTTCCCCTTTGTCCATGGTAATAGAAAACACCTAAGTTGTAGTTTTTAATTGGTACTACTCTCCCTCAAGTACTGACCCTGGTTTCTCTAATATAAATTGCTCCCATAAAGGCCCTTATTATACAATGCACTGTGCTTTTTCCTAAGTGAGTGTTCCTATTGTACAACGTTCCCAACCAGCTTATAATGTATAATGTAGTGTGAGTCCCCCCTTACACCAGGGTACCTTGATGCGGCAAAGGAGGGGGGGGGGACCACACCAACACTCCCTCTGCATCCCCAATTTCCCTAATTAATCTAGCAGACTCTAAAATTGGCACCCCTTCCTCGCCTCCAGCCAAAGCTACCCTCCTCCTTCTCGCCAAACTCCCCACTCTACTATTGCACTATTGTGTCTTGTTCACGTTCTTAACTACCAAACATTGTTGACTCCATCCTACCTATGGCCCCTTTGTTTCACCCTGCCCTTTGTTCCATCTACATACTTTTTCTTCCACATATTTGAGCATGCTTCTCCCACTCCATCCACGGCCACTAGTGCCTCCAATACACTCCAATGCCTCTTTCCCCACACTAGAGTTCTGCCTCTCTCTTATTTTATAATCCTTTCTAGTTCCACACTAACCCTAGACACTTCTTACTCTCCCTTCCATATGGTGCCTATTGATCCAACTATGGTTGCTACCTTCAGGACCCCCGGAGGTGCCCCTCCAAATTCTCCAAAGGGCCCGTGTCCCTGAGTTGCCCCTTCTTAAACCCCTCTCCATCCTCAATGTTCGACTATGGTTCTTTGGGGACCGCAATTGTTCCCACTCTCCTATTTTGGTAACCCTATCGATGATTTCTAACACCTCCAGCACCCTTCTAGCATTTCGGCATAACTCCTTGATTATCGTGTCCGAGCTAGGGATGGTACCCGGGTACAGGGAACCCGGGTACCCGGGGCAGGTTTTGTTTTTTCCAGTACCCACCTACCCGGGTATCTACCAACCCTTGTACCCAGATAAGCGGGCGCGGGTATGTACCTGGGTATAAGCGGGTACCGGTGGGTACCTGGATTACCCGGGTACTGCCAGTACCCGGGTCCAGGTATATACCCAGGTATAGCACATTAAACGTGGGTCAAACTTTGACCAGCAGTCGCTTGGTGCATAGCTTCGCACAACGCTAGTTTCCAAAAGTTGGCCACCGTCCCCAATATATGTGGATGCATCGCGATTGTGCACGGTGCCGAAACTCTCCACACACTCTTCTTTGGGCTGTGCGTTTGGAGATCTGGGGGTGCTGGCGAGCCAGAATCGGGGAATTTGATGGGTTGGAACATTGACATGGTGCCGCTTGGTCGATCCCATGGTGCCGGCGAGCCGCAATTGGGGAATCTAATGGGTTGGAATATCTCTACACACTTGCGGCAACCAGCTGTCTATAGAAAATGCAGATGGGCTCTGACGGTTGATCTTTAGGATACCGGTTGTGTAGCAACCTTGGCGCCCGAGCTGCCCTTTGGGAATTGCAGGTCGTCCGTTTCAATGCAAAACGGTTGGTGCACGCAGGACATGCCCAACAACTTGAACTAGATGGATTGGCAATTGCTTTTGGGCATTGTTATCGTTGATGTCTTATAATTATATAGTTGCATTGTCGCTATTGTGGTTGTTGCTCTTTCTGGATCGTCAACATGATCGTTCACCAAAGGCATCTAGCCCTTTCTAGATTGTGCCAGAAGAATGCATGGTTCGTGGAAAACAATGTCAAGCGAGGGCCGCCGTTGTCGCTGTGGACTCCGTTGCACAATAGCCGGCCAAGCACGGCAGAGCGCAGCTAGCCAGCATTGCGTCGGCGCAGGGGAGCATCTGTCCGCACCCGGGTACATACGCAGACCCGGGTACCCAAGTTCCGGGAACTCCGGGTACCCGGGTTCGGTTTTGCCAGTTTGGGTACCATCCTTAGTCTGAGCTTATAACTACCCCATCTAT